CTCCCAAGAATCTTCACACTGCATCAGAAGCTCTAAGCCTGCACAAGGTTTGCCAAGTATAACTCAAATTAAACCAGAGGCACCTGGCTTGTTGTTGATGTAGCAGTTGATGGTGTTATTATACTGTCAATTATTTTGATCTGTTATCCTAATAAAGGAAAGAAAGGTGTTTTAACAACTGAAGAACATTGCCTTTGTGAAATGATAACCGAAGTTCTTTAGGCTTTTTTTCCAGGTAGCCTGTAGAGGAAATAAGGCATAGGCATGAACACCTCTGAATGGAACATTCAATTTCACACTTCCTCATAGTACAGGCCCTCCCTTCAGATCAAGTGCTGTTTGTCTCTCCATTGTTGGGGACGGAAGAACAACAACAACAAACAAAGACTGGGCACAAAGAGAGGAGACGAAAAATTGGCTTCCATTTCATTCTTACCCTCATTTTCTCTTTCTCTCTCGCTCTGTCGTTTTTTCTTAGCCTACAGTCTTCATAGTTAGATTTATGCCATTTATCATGCTGACACACTCGCTGTCTCTCTCCCTCTCCCTGTCTTTCTCTCCCCCGTTTCTCTAACGGATGAGCCTTATCCTGTCTGTTTAGAGAATAGTTCAGCCAATTAAATCCCATAATGAGCGGCGGCAGTTCAGGAAGTGTGAAATTGCAGTTGCTCTCATTCTGTGAAGAAGAAGGAGCCGCACTCGTTGGCTTATTGATCCCGTGTTTTATTTTATTTTATTATTTCATTTATTTATTTATTTTTGGCGAGAGGTTTGTTGTTTGTGGAATGTACGAGTCCCTTAAAATAGCACCGCTAAACGAAGAGTGTCTGATAAAGATTTAGTTCACCCAAAAACACAATTTTCTTTCCCTCGCGTCTTTAGAAACATGTATGACTGACTTTCTTCAGTGGAACTCAAATTGAGATTTGAGTTCTGAAGAATGTACCGGCCACTCTTTTCCATTCAGTGAATGGGAACTGGATACAAATAATTTAAATCTATTATAACAGTGTTCCATATGACTTCATAAGACTGCATTCCATAATCCATTCTAAAACAGCATGAGGAAAGGGTAGAAATTTGATCTGTCATTTACTGAAAATCTGTATTTCCACTGTATTTGGGAGTTTATGAGGGAATGATGATTGATGGAGCAATGGTGCTTTCGGGTCTATTTTTTTTTAAGACTTTCAGTTCAAATCCATTGCAAGTAAAAGGAAAAGAGTGACTGGTACATTATTTATAATATTTCCTTTTGTTCCACAGAAGAAAGAAAGGTTCAGAAGGGCGAATAAATGACAGGAATTTTATACTTTCTACTTTCATTTCAGCTCATTTACATGCAAAATATCGCACTTATTCTTTCTATGCAAATATTTAAAATACAGTATTAAGCCAATATGCAACGAGTGATGTGTGTGTGTTCTTACAAGTGTTGTTGATTTGCACTCTCTGTTCTACACTAATTAGCTGCACTCATATGCATCATGAATATTCATAATCTAGCATGCAGAGTGGACAATTCATTTGCATGCAGGTGATAATTACTAGATTTGGGTGACGCCCCCTTGAGAATTGTCCAATGCCGTCTTACTTCACGTCTGACATAGGCGGTAAAAAGAGCCGTGTCGATGAGGAAAAACTGCTTCTGCTCTTCTGTGTGTGTGTGTGGAACAATCCCATAATGCAATGGGACAAAAGCCGTTCAATTTCATTAACTGCAAAGTCATCAATGTGACGGCCGCACTGAACACACTCACACTTTAAGAAGGATTCAATGTGTGTGTGTGTGTGTGTGTGTGTGTGTGTGAAACAGCAGACGCTAAACAGCTGCCGCTGTGCAAAGCTCGTGGGCATGACAAACACGAGTGCGAGTGCGAACACTGCCCTCTGACTGTCTGTCCGTCTGTCTCTCTCGCTCTCTATAATGCCAGCCGTCTATTTCCTAAAGAGCTGTTTCCACTTTTCCACTTACAAGTATTTTTATATCTCACTACAATCAGAAAACAGTCAGTCATTCAGACACAAGCTTTTAAAGATCATTAGCGTGACTGTGAACAAAAAGATTGCATCTAAAGTTTTAAAGAAAGAGAAAAAGCAGAAATTGGGGTCGTGAAAATGACTATTGTTATTATTATTTATTTAATATTGTTTCTTTAATATTCTTATTTAATTATAATTAAGACATATTTAAGAATTAAACTTCAAAATAAACTATATATTGTACAATATACACATTTAGACCAGTTGGCAACTAAACCTATCACAGATATGAAGATTTAAAATAAATGTTTGTTTTTTTTAGACCATAATCAGTGTTTATTTTGATCCTGAAGTGAATCATTATGTTTCTGATGGCACACTGAAGGTCGTTCTGCTGACTAGATTTTAGCTCAGATGATATTTAATAATTACTGCAACAACAACAAAAAATGTGTGGTTGTGTTGTGTGGTTTGTTCATAACCACAACAAAAAACAATACTTGAACATTTATGCTAGTCCAAGGTTTACATGGAATCCAGGGTCATTTTAGCTTTTTATTTTAGAATCGATTCACATGAACTTGACTTCAGCGTCTTCTACTTCAGCCTGAAATGTCAAGACATCCTCCATAAAAGTCATCTGAACCTGACAATGTCTTTTTTTCAATTCCATGTTGTTATAAAAAGCTATAAAAAAGTGCATACACTCATCCTCAAGAGTGCTTGCAGAGACGCCTGTCCTCACTTTCACAGGCTACGATATGAAATCCTGCTTGACGTCAGAAAGAGAGAACAGCACTGAAACCTCTTTCTGATTTGCGTACAACAATAGATGTAAACAGCTGACATCTTTTTGGACCGTTTTTACTTACTGAAGAACGACAATGAGTGAAATATGAACTAGGAAATCGGTAATTGGTAGTTTAATGATGTATGATCAATTGTTGCTGGATAATTTTGGTAATTTCAGACTTTTTAGCTGTGGTTGATCAGACTGAAATGATCTCAAAATGGTGCCGTTTATGAAAGTGTCTCTCAGACACAGACAGATATGTTTGTGTTTTTGTTATTCTCACATGTGTTTGACTGTAATTGTACAGCAGACAGACTCACACCCTCAGCTGACGCCTACACTCACTGAATAGGAACCTCGAACGCTTCAGATTGCTTTAAACGTGCAGCAGCGTGATCCTGAATTTAGCACAGCATTTTTGGGTGAAACAGAACATTTAATTTGATTGAACTTTATCCTCCATATTGGGCGGCTCTTTTTCCCATCATCTCCGTGGGTCGATCCGTAGGTTTGGGAAGCTCTAGAGTCTCTCTCTTTCTCTCTCTCTATGATGGTTCCTGATTATTCCTGTCATTTTCCCATCCGCTCCGGAACAGCGCAGCACTAATTAAAGCCTGAAGCTGCAAACGAGCTGACAATATTCTACTACCACAGCAAAACTTACAGAGTGCTAAAATTAAACACCATCACCATCATGTGACCACATACAGATCCTGAACACATATAAACTCACGGATATCACACGCTAAACGCTGATGAAAGGCTCGCCATTTCAATTAAATTACCATTCATGCAAACTAGTCGCATGTAGATTTGATAGAGCCTGCACAAAATGCAAATAACAACCTGCCTGGCAGCCATATGCAAATATTGATCTAACAATCATCTTCATAACACACCAAATAAATGAAACCTCAAAATCACCACAGCAGAACAATGACGAAAAACAAACAACACGCCACGTGACTGATCATGTGACACGTCACGTGTTTGATTGCGTTTAACATCCTCTCTGCACTTAACTGTCCTGAATGTGCGCTTGTAGTGTACTACAAACCTTAAAAGAATATTTAAAAACTGTACTTGTAGATCATATAATATTAATGCAATAAAAGGCCACTTAAGTGACTTAAAGATAGACACTTCCATCACTATGTTTCTAAACACACTTAAGTACACTTTTAAAAAGTGAACTTTGCAATAATGTCAAATTAAAAGATTTACTTTAAAGTTAATTTTAAGTCATTATGTTTTAATAATCTTTTATGGCATTTTAAAGAAGTACATTTATTTTGATGCGTTGACTAACATACTAAAGCACATGTAAAGAACTTAATTATCATTTTAACTCTAGTGTGTTATTCAATATTACATTTAAAGTTAATAGATTTTAAATGCACTAAATTACATCATCATTATACAAATATTGTTAAACATGTGGTATACGAGTTTTAATATAAATGTCATTATTTTAGTTGATCATAAATTCAGCAGTACTTCAAAGACAATGTAAGTAATTATGAAATTATCTATACAAAGATGTACTGGGTCAAAAACACTCTAAAGTTCAGCTAATTGCATTTCATATAAATTCAATCTATAGAACGTGTTCCTTTAATTGCTATTAACATGCAATTTAAAAACATTACATTCACACTTAAGTATATTCTTTTATTTTATTTTTTATATCCGTACTCTTTTTAAAAGTATGCTCAAGTGCACTTCTTTTTCACATAGGTGACCTGAGCTAGTTCTATTAGTTTGTGTTTGTTAAACATCACGCTTGAGGCAGGGTTAAGTTGTTGGTCTGAGTATCATCACGTCTCCCCTCTCATGAAATGGGTAAATAATAATAAACATAAATAGCTATTGACGAGTCTTCTAATGTATTCTTTATTTGAAATCTTTTTCAGACATGGTTCATGGCGTGTATGTGTGTGTGTGGAGCTGCAGCTGTTCTGCGGCGTGTGCTTGTGTTAGTCCTGTATCGCACATCTTGTTTAGTTTTGGTTTGGGATTTTCAGTATCTTTTCCATTTCTACGTTTGCAGCTTCACTGTAAAACTTTGAGGTTTGACAGGAACAGAGACATCAGGACACCAGGAGATTCGGCGTCCCGATCAGCTGTGTTCGGCTCAAACTATCAAACACACAGCACATCTGACCCGACCCAGTAGTAAACAGTACAGACGAGCAGAGGGCAGCAGATGAGAGGTGAGACTTACACTCGGCGCTGGAGAGCAGGACCGAGGCGGTGAGCAGCAGGAGACAGTGTCGGATGGAGGGTAACGCTACACAGACGCTTGGCACAGGCATGATGTTACGACTCACCCGCGGAGTGTGCCAGCTCACAACGCTCCTGCAACGCTCTCACAACCTGCAGAGAGAGACACACACACCAGAGCAATCAATCCATCAGAACACAGAAAAGAGAAGTCAAATATTCATGAGCACACTATTTTGGAATTTAAAGCAACGGGCAAAACCATTGTTTTTTATGCACTGGTAAGTTTTGAGGTCTATTTTGCTCCATTAAATGTCTTATTTCAGACTAGTGGAAAGAAAACAAAACATTGAAGTGATTATTTTATTGCACTTTATCTATTGGCATCTGTAGATTGCAATTCCAATCCATTTCTTTAAAGAGTTTTTTTCTCCAGTTCAGCAGCACTTACACACACCAAAACTTAGAGCTTTATTCCTGTCTATATTCTGAAGGTTTTTACTATGTACATTAACTGACAGTCACCACTGATAAGCTACCACTAAATATATTGTAGAAACTTAATTTGTTGTAAAGTTGCTTTGCAACGATTTGTATCGTGAAAAGCGCTATACAAATAAACTTGAGTTGAATTGAATTTAATCCTAAAAACATGGAGTAAATGTGTATTTTTCCAGTATTTTCTGATTTATGGAGCGATGAAAAGAGAAATACAATGTAAAAACCTTTAATATGTCAGCAAAATCAAACAAGAATATTGAACCTGACTTTATCCAATGTTCAGAAAAGTTTACGCAAATTGGTGCATATAAGCATAATTTGCATATTTAAATGTACAGTTTCAGAAAACATTTTAATGTACTGTGATTAAATCAACTAGGGAAGTATGCTGAAATCTATTAGTTACAATTGTTTTACCCTGTTCATTTGTAGTGTTTTGCCTTAATAAGCTTTTGTCTTGGCAATCAATAAGTGCTGAGCACTACATTAAACACACACACACACACACACACACACACACACACACACACACAAACTCCCCATTCAAATGAGCTTACTCGCTAAACACATCTCTTTAACAATCAGATGATGTCTTTTATTGTTTGTGATCAGATTCAATTCAAGTGAAGCACACTCATTTAAAAGCACAGTTTGCAGAAGCATGTCTTCACAGAGCATTCAGCAGTGAAACCTCTCCATTACTATGGTACAAACACAGGCGACGCAGGCCGGACTTCTGCTCACACGCGGAAGTCAGAGTTGGCTCGCTCTCGTCGCCCGCTGACCGCTGTCACACGCACAGCCACGCTTGCTATTTCCGTTCACGATAGCATCGCTGGCTCGGGCCAGGCCTTTATGAGCTCATTTCGACTACAAACGCACGCATTCAGCAACGCGAGATGCCAGTCTGTGTAATATTTGTGTGATTAATTAATAGTTCAGATATCAGCTGCTCCCGTCTCGTGTTCGGCGCCGCTTTCATCCGCAGCTTTTGTTGGGAGAGCGAGACAGACGGAGAGACAGACACATCCATTATGTGTGTTTTGTATCTGCTCTCGATGAGCCGGTTCTTTGTTGAATGTGAATTTCCATCACACTTGCACGCGGAGCAAACGCTCTCTCTAGAAATCTGACAGATAAGTAATACCGCATGTCGCCCACGTTGGCAGGCGATTTGTAAATAAACGAGAAAATGGCCGTGCTTTTTTCTCCTCTTGTTACTCATCTGTCTGACATTGATCCAGAGAGTGAGATGGACTCGACTGAAAATCACATCAATTCATTCACACGCCAAAGCATGAGGGAAAGTCTTTAGTGAACGTCTCTTATGAAGCTCGGGGTCATTCTTCACGCCGTTCTGCCGCTTGTGTTCCTCATTAACATTTATGCAAATAATCAATATCAGCTGCAGGCTTTGAGTGTGTTCATACTGAGACTGGGGTAAACATTACAGCTCTGTCTTTCTAACATCTCGTTCTGTTAGCAAATACACGCATTTTAATAATAGATTATCATTTGTTATGCATTGTAGCTTTTATTTCCTTTTTTTCCATGCTAAGGTTGATATTTCTACAACTGAACACAAGCAAAATTAAGCTGTTAAACTGTCCATCCAGGCATCTGTGCATCTGTCATGTGATTCAAATGAATCAGAACAATGATTCTGGTGTTGCTCTGACCTCAGAACGAAACACTTACAGATATATTAAACATCTGTAATAACCACAAACAGTCCAGAATAAGTTTGAAACGACGCAATGCCATCTATTAAAATGTCTTTAACAGAAATGTTTCACATGGAGGACATTAGAAACACACTGACTACTGGAACACAAATCACACACACAAACACACACACAGACACACACACACACACACACACACACACACACACACACACACACACACACACAGTGTCTTGTTTCTTCCACAGTGAGAAAACATCTGACAATGTCTGTGTAAAAGAGAACAGCATCCAAAGGTCAGAGGTCACCGTATGGCCGCCAGCATCTGACTGACCAATTAACAGTGACTGAGAGACGCATAAACCATTTCTCATCGAATGATCTGAGCTCTGATCTACATTCATTTTCCTGCTCTATCCTTGTGAAAAAATACCCTTGAGCATGAACTAATGAACTTTAAAAGAACACACTTAAGTGTGAACTGAATGTAATATTTTAAGACACTTAATCAGATTGTAATTGCAATTAAATTAAAATGTATTATAGTTTGACTTATATGAAAAGCAATTAGCTGAACTTTAGAGTGTTTTTAACCCATTTAAGTAGGACTTGAGCACATCTTTATATGTAATTTCATAGTTCTATTGTCTCTGAAATGTGGTTAAAGTACTGCTGAATGTACTGTCGAGTATTTATGATAAACTAAAATATATTTTAATGTCGTTTCTGTTGAAACGTGTGTGTCATGTATTTAAATATATTAGTAATGATGATGCTGCGATTCAGTTTATCTAAAATATATTAACTTTAAATGTAATATTGAATAACACACTACCGTTAAAATGATAATTAAGTTATTTTCATGTGCGTTAGTATGTTAGTCAGCACATCAAAATAAGTGTACTTCTTTAAAACACCACAAAATATTATTAAAACATAATGATTTAAAATTAACTTTAAAGTAAAACTTTTAATTTGACATTATTACAAAGGTCACTTTAAAAGTGCACTTAATTGTGTTTAGAAACAGCCATGAAAGTGTCTCTATTTAAGTCACTTAAGTGGCCTTTTATTTCCTTAATAATATATTATATACTATGTACAGTTTAAAAAAAAATACTTTTAAGTTTTTAAGGACACTACAAGTGCACATTTCTATTTTCACACTTTTTCACACGGTCTTACTGTATTTACTGTACAGTCTTATTGTAGTTAATACTTAAATGAAACATACGTGTCTAGAAACAGTTGTGAAAGAGCAAAGTCTGAGCAAAAAGCTAAAATACACACACACACACACACACACACACACACACACACACACACACACACACAGA